TGGCTTTGTTCAGATTTCTCCACCTAGTCCAGGTGTCAGGACCATGCATACGTGCCTCCCCTCAGGGACCATCCCCTGCTGGGCACTGCACACAGACACACACAGTCTCTGCAGACCAGCACAGGGCAGTTGGGATCACACCCAGCACAACACGGCAACCAGTGAACGCAAAACCAGGGTGGATCCAGGGCCACAAGAGTGGACAGCCCCTCCCCCCCCCACACACACACACATCACGTTGGGTCCCTTAGATCTCTCTTCTAGTGCGTGACCTTCCCTGCCATCTGCTGGCCAGCCCCAGCTGGCTCCGTGGGGGTACGCGGAAACGGCATGGAACCGGATCTGGCTAGTCCCACTGCGGCTGCATCTTCCTCAGTTTCCCCAGAAGAGGCAGTGACCCTCTCTCTGCCTGGCTCCGAGGGAGGCACTGGCGCCGGATGCCGTGTGAAGACACGGAGGAGCCTCCGCCTGGATTGCTGGACGTCTGCCAGTCCTGGGCTCCGGTCGAGCAGCCCTCCCGGTTCACGAGCTCATCGTGGAGGCGGCACGCTTCTCCCGCTGGGCCGCTCTGCTTCGCTCCGTCGCGGCGGAGACAGCGCCTGGCCTCTGTTTCTCTGGCAGCACCGAAAGATCCAGGTGGCCCCGCGTGGGACAGGGCTCCGGCAGCTCAACTGCCTCCGGAGAGTGATCTTCTCTGCTTCTCTCCGATTTAGAGCCGCCAACGCGCAGGCCCTTCTAGCTAACTGGGGCTTGGCTCGTGGCTGGATTTTGAGGAGATGCTCCCTCGGGAAGACAGAGCTCAGTTCCAGTCCTTAATTGAGGAAGGCAGATTTGCAGCCGGCACCCTCGCCGGGCTGCAGAAAGAGCATCCAGAGAGGTGGCTACAGCCGTGGTCCCGAGGCAGGATTCCTAGCTACGGAGCTCAGGTTTCCCTGGAGAGGCGCACGGTACCCTTGGATACAGTGAGCCTGTTCCAGGGTAAGATGGCTGGTTCCCTCTAGTCGTCGGAGGACTCGAGGGTAGTGATTGGCTCTCTGGGGGTGTCTGCCCCTGCTCGGAAGAGGGGGCGTCCCAGAGCAAAGCCACCCCAGCAGTTTTGCTCCCCGTGCGCCCAGGAATCGCCAGCCAACCAGAGGGTTCGAAGGCTCAGGTACGCTAGGCCTGCAGCATCTACTGCCACCGCCCACTTGGACCCACACCCAGGGGGTTCTTTTGATGGGACTGTTGAGGCCCGCGTCCCTCGATCGGGGTGCCGCATCGTCCTGCCCCTCTGGTTTTTGGAGGCTGCCTTTTCCAATTTGCCCACCCTACCCGGCTTTAACAACAGACGGGGGTGCTGGAAAGGATTCATTACCGTCCTCGGATTGCGTTTGTCAGCCCTTCCTAGCCCAGTGCCAGGGACCACGCTCTCAAGGACATCCTCTCAAGGTGGCCTCTCTCCTCCGCGAGGGAGCCACAGGAGGAGTTCCTCCTTAGCTGAATGTTACAGACCGCAGCACCTCCTCCACCATTGCCGAAACCGCCTCTGTGCCGACTAACGACAACGGTCCACCACTTATTTCTAGAGTCCAGTGGGCTCTCTTCTAGGATACCTACCTGCCTTTAGGACCGTGGTTCTCAAACGCCAAGTGCCAGACAGCCGTGGCCCATGTGACGTCAGAACACACCGGGGGGGGGGACGAGGGATCCTCTGGGTCCTGATATGGCCCAATCCTTCAGGGAGCCATTTAGGATCTGGGGCAAAATCTGTCAGGGATGGTACTTGGCCCTGCTGTGAAGGCAGGGGGCTGGACTCGATGACCCTTCAAGGTCCCTTCCAGTTCTAGGAGCTAGGCAATCTCCATTCATTTATTTAGAACCACCCAGGCAGTCTGACTATGGTGTGGATACGGCCCACGTGACAAACATGGGCCACAGAGGCGCTCCCTAATGAGAAATAGGCTTAGAAGCACTGCCTCCCGACGTCAGGTCTCTGCTAGTTCCCTGCCGGTGCCGTTCGGCGCAGTCGGTGCTTTTCATCCCCCTACCGAGAACCGCGCTGTCTTGACTCGCTCCACTGTAGATGCAATAACGCCTTCTGTCCCAGTGTGGCAAGAACACCCGCCTGGTTCTTGCCACTCTCAGCCAACGTCCCTTGCGCCACGTAGGCTGTCCCCTCTTCTTGGCGAAAGGTGCCTTCCGCCACAGCAGCCGGAAGGGTCCGTGAGCTGGCAGACCCACCGTCGGCATCTGTTGACAAAAGGCGGTATTCCTTGTATAATGAGGTTTACAGCCTCCGCGCCGAGACGGCCTCAGCCCCCCAGCCAGAATTCCCCCACGTTTCACAGGACTCGAGCCGTCGGCTCGCTGAAGTGTGCACCGGCCTTTAGTCTGCACAGAACAAAAGCACGTAGACACCTAGACCCTCGGTTACTGGTGCAGAGAGATCAAGGCCCCGCGCTCTCTGTGCGGACCCCGAAAGGTCTCTCCGGCTGCGTTATCCTTTGCTACCAGCACCTCACGGTCCCGTCCCTCGGCCCATGCCCCCAGAACATCAGCCACCTCTGCAGTGGCCCTGCAGGACATGCCTCTACTCCAGACAGATAGGGAAGACCAGGATGCTTTGGCACCTCTACAGATCCCGCTGTGGGGACAGCAGCGCGCCAGCCGTCCCTTCGGGGTCCTCGCCCCCACCGCCTGTTCGACTGCCGCTTGCTCCTCCATCCCGCGTGGCATACGCAGAGGGACCAGCCCTCCCAGAAGAAGTGGCGGTTGGTTTTGTCACTGTTTGGTGGTTGTCTAGCCCGCTGCCCGCCCTCCGTCCCCTCTGGGGCAGACCAGAACCGGCTTTGAGGCGGGAGAGAGAACCGGACAGGCCCTTTACACCCTCAGCTCAGAGCACGAGAGCTGCACAGAGGCAGGCCAACGGACGCTGCTTCCTACACATCTCTGGACTCGGGCCTGGTGCACCTGCATGTCCTTGCATCTCAACACATGGTGTGTTTTCAGTGTCCGTACTCCAGGGCCGTTTTTGTAGCAGGTGAGCCGTCCCCTTTGGCTGGGTGTGTCCTTGCTTTATGGAGCCTGCGGACGCTGTTTTCGTTGGCAGTTTCCAGCCGGCTAAGGGGAGCGCACGCTGCGTGGCATGCAGCCTTCGGCAGGATTGGAACGGCAGGGGGGTTCACGTTCCGACCGCGCAGTTCCAGAACGTGCGTGGTTCTAGCCACGTCGCTCCTAGCGCACGCGGGAACCAGAGCGGGTGCTGGGGTGGAGACATTACTGACTGTAGACGTGGAATTCAAATGAAACGTGCTCTTCGTACGAATGTCTAGACCTCACCTACCTGCACCAACCCGGCAAGTTTAACTAGCTGCATGTTAATTAACTGGGGGGGAACCATGTTTTGTTGTTTCGTTAATAGGGAGCTAATCAGCTCGTTGCTTTCACTCCCCGGCGCATCGTTAGCCCCGGGAGCCTCCCGCTTTCTGCATCCTGAGGAAACATGGGATAACTGGCTTGCTTTCCTGTCCCCCGTTTAGTGCCTCAGCGAGGGAGCTCTCTCTCCGGACGGGACGGTCTTGGCCACAGCCAGCCACGACGGCTACGTCAAATTCTGGCAGATCTACATAGAGGGGCAAGACGAGCCACGGTAACGGAAGAAGCAGAAAAGAAGGGAGGGGGGCTGGGACAGAGACGTTGAGCCACTTGGGGGTGCCTTGTCCGATTCCTTCTTGCAGCAGGAGGGAGACCCTGGGGGCAACTGTCCCGGGCGCATCTTACTGCAGAGCGTTGCGGAAGTGCTGAGCTGGGTCGGGTGTGCTCGGTACTTCCAAAAATGAGGAAGGGAGGAATCCGTTTGGTGCTGGGCACAGTTCACTGGTTCTCCCTGGAGAAGGAAGCTCTGCCCATATACTGGACGGGGCCGTGGCGGGGTGGGGGCGGGAGGGGCTGCACAGGGCCCTCACATAACTGACTCTGCAGGGTCTCAGCCTTTCCCAGGGGCGCTGACCTACAGTCTAGTCCTGTACAAAAACTGCCCCATCCCACAGACCTGTTTGACCGAAACTTGATGGACACATTCAGCCGGCGAGTGTTGGACACAATCAGCTGTTTGAAATAGTCGATCACCGTGCAAGCGGTGGACAGCCTGCAAGAGAATTATTCAGTTTAACATAGGCGGGGAAATCTGCTCAATTTTTAACCTGACAGGTTTACTTTAACTAAGGTCTCTTGGTGGAGCTAAGGCAAATGTGGTTTACAGCTGCTGCCTGTCAAACCTCACATGCCTGTCTGGAACCCCACCACCATGTGTCTTGAGGCTGCCTACGGTAACAGCGCTCGCGCATGGTGGCTTGTTAATTCCCCCCACAGGTGTGCTACCCCGCGCCAGTCACCTGTTCTGGCACTGGGGGTGAAACTAGGGACATGCTATTGCACACTGATAGGATATTTACATGCAACATGTGCAGACACCCTCTGTGAAGGCACACTGAACCCAAAGCATGCACAGCTGGCATGAGACCCACACCTCCCCCTCCTGCACCAGCTTCATCCTGTGGTCAGGTATTATTGCTTCCCATCTGTCGCTCTAATTTGTCCCTTCACTCCTGGAGGGCCTGTGTGTTTCTGCTGGGCTGGGTGTACGTGTCACCTCCTGTCTGGGTCTCTCCTAGGTGCCTGCACGAATGGAAGCCCCACGAGGGCAGGCCGCTCTCCTGCCTGCTTTTCTGCGATAACCACAAGAAACAAGACCCGGAGTAAGTCCCGGTGCCGGCCTGGGAGCTGCAGGGCGGAGCCGGCCCCCAGCTCTGCGGCTTTGAGACCAGAGCCTTGCAATCGCGTTGCGTGTGCACACACCGTGCTCCGCCAAGTGGCCAGCTGTGGCGTAGCCACGGGGGTGCAACGCCCCCCACTTCTGACCCAGGCCTGCCCACCGTCTCCCCAGCCGGCCTGGTGACCTTGCCAAGGAGCAGGATCCAGGACTTGCCCAGTTCTGCCCTTCCAGTGCGCCAGCCACAGGGAGAATCCCCCATGGCCACCCCTGGCTCCCCCGCACAGGTGGGGCAAGCCCCTAATCCCACTCCCCAGCTGTGATGCTGGAGGTGGGGAGAGGTGGCCCTCATGGCTCCTGCCCCCTCTCCCTGTCCTTGCCCACCCACCCTAAATCGGGGCCCACCCAGGGGTGCTAGTGTCCCTACGCCGCTGGCAGACAGTGCCTGTAGGCAGAGAGTGGTCTCTGACCTGGGAGCAGCTGAGGCTCCCCAGGGCCGTGCAGCGTTGTGGCGGGGGAACTCACCAATACAAGTGCTGCTAGGTTGGACCACGCTCGCGTCCGCTTCCCCCGGCTCCTACGTCTGGCCCTTTCTGACATGGGCTGGGGTCCTGCTGCTTCCCTGGAGAGCCGGGCCTCCGAAGGCGTGCCCCGTTCTAGCCTGCCCGGGGAGCGTGGGACGTGCCAGGCCAAGTTTGGCTGTAGGCCTCCTCGGCGCTGCGTGCGGGAGGGGCCCTGCGCTCTGCCAGCTTTCCTTCCCGTCTGTCGGGCCTGCAGGGTTCCTTTCTGGAGATTTCTCATCACGGGAGCGGATCAGAACCGGGAGCTGAAGATGTGGTGCACCGTGTCCTGGACCTGCCTGCAAACTATCCGGTGGGTGGTGGTCCCCCAGGGCCTGCCCCCGAGGCCGCCGAGAGGGAGGGTTTGTCTGACGCTTCCACTGGCCCGAGCAGAGTTCGCAGACCCGTTAGGATCCTCGTCGCTGTGGGGACCAGCCACCGCCGAGAGCGGCTGGCGGGGTGGGCGCTTGGGG